GTAGTAGTGTTGGTGATGACGGTGGTGGTAGTGTTGGTGATGGTTGTGGTAGTAGTGTTGGTGGTTGTGGTGGTAGTGTTGGTGATGGTTGTGGTGGTAGTGTTGGTGATGACGGTGGTGGTAGTGTTGGTGATGGTTGTGGTAGTAGTGTTGGTGGTTGGTGGTGGTAGTGTTGGTGATGGTAGTGGTAGTGTTAGTGATGGTTGTGGTAGTAGTATTGGTGATGGTTGTGGTAGCATTGTTCGTGATGGCGGTGGTGGTAGTCTTGGTGATGACGGCGGTGGTAGTGTTGGTGATGGTTGTGGTGGTAGTGTTGGTGATGGTTGTGGTAGTAGTGTTGGTGATGACGGTGGCGGTAGTGTTGGTGATGGTTGCGGTAGTAGTGTTGGTGATGGCGGTGGCGGTAGTGTTGGTGATGGTTGTGGTAGTAGTGTTGGTGATGGCGGTGGTGGTAGTGTTGGTGATGGTTTTGATAGTAGTGTAGTGTTGGTGATGGTTGTGGTGGTAGTGTTGGTGATGGTTGTGGTGGTAGTGTTGGTGATGGTTGTGGTGGTAGTGTTGGTTATGGTTGTGGTAGTAGTGTTGGTGATGGTTGTGGTAGTAGTGTTGGTGGTTGTTGTGGTAGTGATGGTGATGGCGGTGGTGGTAGTGTTGGTGATGACGGTGGCGGTAGTGTTGGTGATTGTTGTGGTAGCAGTGTTGGTGGTTGTGGTGGTAGTGATTCTGATGGCGGTGATGGTAGTGGTGTTGAAAGTGGTGGTGGTAGTGGTGGGTGTTGGTGATGGCGGTGGTGGTAGTGTTGGTTTGGTTGTAGTGTTGGTGATGGTTGGTGATGATGGTTGTGGTAGTAGTTGAGATAGTGATGTTTTTGGTAGTGATGGTAGTGATGATGATAATAGTGGTGGTGATAGTGTGTGATTGTGGGTTGTGGTTGTGATAGTGGGGGGAGGGGGGTGATAGAGGTGACTGTCTGCCAGGTAGTAGGCTGTATTTGGCTGTAATAGTGTGTGTGGTTACATATGATGGTAGTATAGCAGTAACACAAAGTGGGGATAATGTGTCAACTCATTGATGTGAGTATGTATTGTTATACGCCGCTTTTAGCAATATTCCAGCAACATCACGGCGCTGGACATCACAAAATATTCTTCAGACATTGTGCCCATGTTGGGAAACGAAAACGGATTTTCGACGTGACGAGCAAACGCTTAACCACAAAGCTACCCCAGGCCCTAACTGCAATAGGGGTGGGAGATAGTGGTATTTATACATACATAGTTAGTAAAGTTTTTGCTCTAATGTAACCTACAACTGCATGTATAACAATAGAAGCTGTCATGGATTTATCTCTAGTCTAAATACTTTACATGTCAACTATTCTTAAGTGCGACGTTAAACCCCATTTCACCCCACCTCACATGTCAACTGAAACTTTCAAGTTGCCCTAAGCATCATTAAATGTTGCACTATGTTTTACAACATTTTATCGCACTGTACTTATTCGATGAAAATAAAAAATCGAAAACACAAACGATGATTGTTGAACCCATTCCCTTGCCTTGTGCAATACCTAGAATACCAAGTCGTCATAAGAATAGACTTGTTCCAGGAACCATTATAATTATTTATTATATAGAATAGACTTTAAATCAAATAACATGAAGTATGTTCTAATTTTGAATGAAATTTGTCTGTTTAGAATAGATTAGAGTATGCAAGTACTAACACACTTCCCTAAGAATGCATATAATCCGTACGAAGAAAGTTTTAATCATTTTATCAGTTTACGTTGATATGTGAACATCACTGTTGAATTTCATGTGTGAGCATGGTAAAATGCAGCCAGTTTCATACAATGACATGCGAACAAAATACAATCAATTATAAAGTGGTTCGACGAACATGTTGACTGCGTATATTCTTAAACCGTTCTGGTTAAAAACGTTCAAAAATTATTTACGCGACGAATTTTCGAAAAAGACCATTTCTTCTGAGACTCCTTTAAAGCAAAACTCTCGAAAACTTAGAAGCAAGAAAAATGTCATAGTCATTTATGTTAAATGTGGTTGAAACAGATGTGTATCTGACAGAAACATTCACTTCATTAATCACTTAAGACTTCAGTCAGCTTGCGTCATGCTGTGTTTATTCTAAACACTATATTTAATGTTTCGTTGATGCATAGAGTTATAAACAATTAGTTGGTGTGTTCTGGTTTGCTGCGTTCCGTAATAATCAAAATATGCTAAAATATATGAACAGGAAGACAATACAACTAAATATCGTCTTGAAAGTTAAACCTGAAGCGATACATGCTAGTTTATTACATTACATAATTTTGTTTTCAATGATCAATGATCAATGCACAGCAGTGATAACTGTGATGCGGATCTTTGACTATCACCAAGACAACCAGAACACCTGATGTAACTGGGAGGGGGAGAACAGTTTCATATCAAGAACGCCGGTAAATGGACAAGAAACAAAATACATAACTCAAATATTATCATCAGGCGATTGTGTAATGAAGTTGTGTTCATGTAATATATAGTTTATACATATCTGTGACTATATATTATTAACTGTTATGTGATTTTATCGATTCGATTTTAGTTGATTTTCGAAGGCAATAGTATTCACACACATATACTAATATATCATGTCGAAAAATGTGCATCCATTGCAATAAAGAAGTTGTTTATCTATAAAACATCGTTCTCGTCCATCATATCAGCTTTTAATGCCTCTCAAAGAAAATGCGACCCGAAGAAGAATTTTTTATCAGTTTAATCCTAAGTGCACGACAACTACTTTAGTTACATATATAGGACTATAATGTAAAGGTGTGTGGTTTTATTGTGTAGATGTGTTCTGTGTTCACACATATGCTGATATTACATGTAAATGAATTTTAATCTGTGTAAACCTGAGTGTACGAAAACTACTTTAGTTACATATATAGTGTATAAATTAAAGGTGTATGGCCTTATTAAGGAGATGTGGTTTGTGTAATACTACTTGTATAAACTATCAAATAATGAACGGTTTACAAACCTCATGAAGGTATATCATTGCTTACTGAATTCTATTTTAATCGATAGCCAGCCATAGACCTACACAAATCTTTAGGTATGTTTTCAGGCGTTAGTGAAATTGTAACGAGAAAATATCGCAAACGATGTCACATACCCTAATATAATCCAAGCGAGGGGTATTGTTGTAGTCCGGTTGTCACGTCGCTTGGTTATAGACAGACAGACAGACAGACAGATATTTTATATTGCAAGCGGAAATGATTATTCACTGTGTTACAACTATTGACAATATTATCTACACTGGCGGAGAAAATTGGTAAGTTCCCTCAAGGCCGCTGTCTCAGATGGAAACGTAATTTTGTAAATTAGAGATTCATCACCGTGAAATTGACTTCAGACTTCATAAACAGGCTTTAAAACATTTCGTTAATTACTACAAGGTATTGTTCCTGTCCTCTCGTGAGGGAGAGACGCTGTAAAGTGATAAGTGCCCATGTTGTGGGTGCGAACGTAGAGTATGTCTTGAGTGACAGGATCAATTACACAAATAGAAAGTAATCAATATCTTTCCGATCAGAGATGGGATCACGTGATCGCCAATCAATAAATCTGTGACACATGGCGCGAGAAGGGGTGTACTTGTAAATAGCGCCTACTACAAATGTATCGTTTAAAAATTGATAACATATTTTGCTACACTGAAACCACGTTCACACTAGGCAGAGTATGACTTTGGATTTACCACCATATACTTCAACGGACAGTTTATTCCTGATATGCCGCTTCTTAGAATATAATCCTATTGCTGATATTGCATCAAATCTAATAAGTTCTCACGTGTATATTCAAATAGTATTCAAGTTGATGATAATAATTTTAGTATTGTGTTTTGACAAGTGGGCACATGTCAATGTAATTATGCTAAAAAATTCAAACATACATAAAATTTGAATAATTATGCGGAGTTTTAAATTACATATTGATGTATAATCCACAATTGTTGATAATTGGACAGCGTATGAAAAGGACGCTATACAATAATGCATGATATGTTTTATCATGCACAGTCATAACGACACCTAAGCGTGTATATAGTGGGACAAATTAGGGTGAGACGACAATTGTCCTTGCTGACACGATAATATCTTCGAGAAAATTCAGCATCCGACAATTTGGGATTAGAGGGGATTGGAGAGGATTAACGGCACAATACACACACATACATGTATAGCGATAGATAAACTGATCATTTAGATTATTATCTCAGGGAGTTAGGAATGTTCTGTGAGTTTGTATGTAGTTTGAGGTTGTCAAGAGATACCCGTTCGTCACGTTCTATACTGAGATCAGCTTACTTAAGAAGGTATCGCGTTCCAAATTGATTCAATTAACGTTATGAATATGTCTTCGTAAATAAACTAAATATGATTCATAACCATTGACGTGTTTGATAATTAAGATTAAATTATGCGTCAGACACTGATTAAGTTCATATTTGCAAATATGATTGCATTTGAAAAACATTGTGTAATACGTATGAACGAATGCCTATTCATTTATGAAATAACAATTAGGCTGCGTAATTTTAAAAGAAAAAAATAACATATTGTTGAACAATTACCAAGTACTTAAGGATAATTTTTATCCAGACGCAACTATCATATGAACACGCATTCGTGTATTTAATGCTTGGCAAACAAACGAGAAATATTTTTTTTATTAAAGTACCATATGTTTTGCTTGATTGGATAAATAAATCTCATGTACTACCATTGATCGTATAAAGTGTCATGACGTAGCATTTGGCAAATTATCAATACCCTTATTTTGTCAGTTTTTAAAAGTGACAAATTTAATGGTGACGATTTTGTAGTAATATACACAAAATTATGTTTAATTTTGATAATTTAATACCATATTGTACATTTGATACTGGCGTGATTCTTATTGTTATAAATTCTATACCTGATTTCTTCTCTTCGGAAATCCTCTCTGTAACCAAACCCGCATCGGCGAGCCCCCTCAGCATGTCTTGGGTGTGGCTTGGAAAGGGGTGCCCACCCTCGCTACCCCGCAACCCCAGCAAGGCATCGATGCTGTGGAAGCTTCTCGTTGTGGCGCTCATTGATAGTCCGGGTTCGAATCTCACTTCCAGCAAAGACTTGAAATCAATATCCTTAACAAGCCTGTTATCTAATCCTACGTCTTCTTGCTCGAGGAAGCTGAAAACGTTGTTACACAGTCAGTACGTCTTTGAACAATTCATTAAATGACTGTGAAAGTTAAGAACTGTTTCATATCGAAGTTACCAGGTGATCTCCACACGGTGAACCACGTCGGTCGTCTATATGATAGCTAAATTAGTCCTCCACGAGCACGGCACAGGTAGGGATTGTACCTCTCCACCTGCGATCTGAACGGCAGTGAGTCGCAATCTCCAGCACTGTCAGGGCCTAATGTACTGTCCGAGACTGATACAGCTCCTCACTTGGCTTCATAAAGTAACCTTACCCTTCATTGTTAATATTTCAAATGAGTTTAAGCTAATCCTTAGAGCTCGTCAGCAGCGATGACAGTGGTTTTACCCGGGGGCTTCTCTACCCCGCAGAGAAGCATGAACACTCGCTGACAATACGCGTCGTTGGTAACAAGATGGGCGGGGTCCAGGAAATTAATTGCGGATAAATAAGCGGTGAAGGAACCAATCACGGTTCAGCTTGAGTGTCTTGCCTCTCAACATGCAAACACGAATGAGTAATCTACCACAAACACGTCAGCCTGCAGCTACATAGCCGACAACATCATCACTACGACCGTGACAGAGGTACAATAGCAGGATACTAGAGGGCGCTGCAGTCTGCGTGCGGCGCGCGAGCTGTGACGTGGAGGACGGCGTTAACGTGACAACTAACGTCACCCGGAAACCAACTTGTCGCGGCTAAAATTAGATTAAGATCACCCTGCTTATTATTGCACGAACACGCGTGGACTTTTTAAAGTTGAGGACACAAAAATGTGAATAAATTGGACGGGCGAAACAGTACTCTTTCAAACGCCAGCAAAATGGCGTCAGATAATTGTAGCACGTTCTTTGACGTCAGCCTCCATCCCGACGATACTTGAAATGATTGCCAAACGTCTGACTATCCGGAACCTGCCAGGTGCAATGCTCTGTTATTGCCCTGCTTCTGTCTGTGATAATTCACATTATTTAATAATTTCAACATTCAACGTGAATGGTGAGACAAAACGATCATACGTTTCCGATGATTTTCTGGCAATGGTTGAATTAACCATAATGGTTGAATCTCCGGACATCGAATTATACAAGGTCGTTTAAATAGATTTGTACATAAGCCAATGTATACAGTTTACCTAAATATTTAACTGCTTTATCGTTATTGCTATTGTATTTAACTATGATTTTAATTGCAATTACAGAAATCAACCGTGTGATGATCTTGCTTATGACACTATCAAGGCAGATATCATTGGTGGTTACCCTTTGTATTTGAGTCTTGTTGGTGCCGATGATTTCATCTTATTGACAACCAATGATGAGTGAGTGAGTGAGTTTAGTTTTACAATGCTTTTAGCAATATCAAGGCGGGGGACACCAGAAATTGGCTTCACATACTGTACCCATGTGTGGAATCGAACCTGGGTTTTCGGTGTGACGAGCGAACGCTTTAACCACTAGGCTACCGCAACCAATGATGAATGATTTCACATCTGATACAGTTGAGTTGAGTTGAGTTAGGCTTTACGTCACACCGGCATTATTCCAGCCATATAGTGACGAGATCAAGTCTGAATTCACAAACATTTTAAGCACAAAGACCAAATGAGCTTTATATTAAAACCATATATATTCATTACATTATTATTTATAAACAGAAAATGTCATAGCACCAAATTCAAAAGCAAGCAATTCGTTATTCACATTACATAGTTACAATTTATGATACAGGTCAACTTCCCTGAGGTAGGTAACAATGAGATGCCGCTCACGCTGGAAATACAGTTAAGAGTGGAAATCGTGTGTCCTTTGATAAGATTACCCAGCATTTAGTTTCAATATAATAGAAAAATGGCATTATAGTGTAATGATACATCATGAACGAACGAACGAATGAATGAATGAAATATATGTACTGAACATATTCAGCGCCAATGGTAGTTACACGTTCTAAAAGTAGACCGAGGGTTTGTGTTACGGCCACATAACCTCCATGCATTATCCAAGAGGTAATAGATCGAAGTTGAAGGCCACTTTATCAAATCACGTCAAATGTTGCGGCCTTTTTGCCTGGTCTAATGAATAATATCATCCTGACAATGTTCGCGTAGAGGACTCAATCAAACATCTGTGTAATTTCCACTCAGGAGGATCTCTATTCACACTATTCACTAATTCGCTGTCAAAACGATAAAAAGGCCCTCCCAGCGTTCTTTCACAAGCACCCTTTCTCCGCCAGTAACACGGCCTCTGCTCCATCCCCCGACAAACCTCATCTTGTGCCATGGACTTTCCTAAGATGTTTTCAAAGAAAACACATAACAGGCTTATTTATCAAACAATTATTGGAAAAGAAATAGAATGCAATTCCTGCTGTAACTGTTTGTATGAGAGTTATCTATCCACTCACTCATTCTAGATGATATCATGTACCGTATATTACCGTCTATAAGCCGAATATTGAGGACCAAAAACATATGTCTGTAGAAGGGGGTCGTCTTATCTATGAGATACAATTTCACGGAAATATTTTTTAGCTCGCCAGTGCCCTGCCAGGACGATGTTACAGGTTACCGGTACATCTGCCAGGATGTTTGCCACGATTACAGCGTTTATGTTGTGAATGATGAATAAAATACATATTAACCTGTACGTTTTCATTATTTCAACATATTATTACATTTATCGTACAATCAGCTGTGCACACGTTTCCTGGTGATCAAGTTCAAACATGAACAATAATATAACGGGATGAATTCTGGCGCAGTACATTAAAAACTGGTCATCTCTGACGCAACACTCATATATGGCCTTTGAAAACGATGGTGTCATACACATTTAACACAAAGCATCAAAGAATCTCATGCAACTTTCTTTCACCTGACTTTTAAAAACGTTGGTACATTTATGAGACAAATTGTAATCAATGAAATAAAACTTTGAGCAACTGAAAGTATACCGAGGTTTTTTTTAATCTATTTCAAAATTCAAACAACTCTTGTCAAATATGATTATGTTATTATTTACCTATCACTCATTCCTGCCAAAGTTGGTAAAATGGGATCTGTGGCATGATAATTTAGTATCAAAATAAATTGATCCAAAAAGACTTGGTTAAGAAATTAATTTTCAACCACATGTCATCAAGCACGTTTGAAATGCAGTAACTTTGTGCCGATAAAAAGCAAATGTATTGATGTTCAATGGAAAGATGTCGAACATACCCAAAAGGAATTGTGAATTATGCCATTTTGAATTTGTAATTTAAATTATAGTTTTAAAATGAAACCATGTACATTTACGCTTTGAGTGCTGATCAAGCGCAAGTTCAGTTCACGTTACGGATATTCGAGAATATAGTTCAAGCTATTTCTGTTGAAAATTGGGTGTGTGATAAAAATTATCAGATCCTCAGTTGGTCCTCAGTTATAAGTCAATAATCACTATAATGATAAATCCTGTATAATTTTGAAATATAAAGTACAAGGTATTGCCATACATGATACACACAAGGAGAAAAATACTATTCGATATAAATTAAGTGTCCAAATGTTCCATTTCAACTAAAGCAAGAATCATAAAAAGATTTGCTGAAAATATCTTCTAGGAATGTTATCGACAGCTATAATGAATTAGTTAAGTCACAAATACTATTTTATGCACATCACGCGTTAAAATGTTTCAGTCAAATAGAAGATTTAGAGATCTGATGAAAATACATATATATTGGAGGAAGGTAAATTAATTTGAAGAGAAGAATATGTATAAATGGGTTGGGGTTTTCTCGCTAAGACGTACATGTATTTATATTATTGAATTGTGTGGAAAATCGAATCCTAAATGGATGCTCATGACGTCAATCTCTGGGTTTTCTTGTCCAGTGTAGAGTACATATATGGAACCGTCATATCGGAGGAATATTGCTGAGAGCTGGTTCTGTGAGAGGTACACTTTATCAATGACAGTCTCGTTAGATCCATCGACTTTTGTTAGATCAATAAAAGTAGTTACATTATTGTTTCGATTTATTGATATCTCCAAAGTTGTCATAGCAACAGAAGATAATAAATAGCAAAAGTTTCAAACTATTACTTACCTTTACGCATGTATTAGATTTTTGTGGGCTTTATTGTTGGACATTTCCTTTCATGTACAACCAGATAAACACTTTTATGCTTGGATCGAACAAGGATTATGGTTAGACAGGAATGTGGCTGTACCTTGGACCATGCAATTACTTCATTTTGTATGGACTTTCAAGTAGTTTTGGAATCCAACATACATGGGCATGCCTTGAAGCCAAAAGTTGATACAACTTACCCGTGAGTTTGGTAGATTTCTTTATCAATTTACATATTGGCCAAATATCTGGCATTATCTGATGTGTCTCTAATACTAAGTTCTTCGATCAAATAAGTATATATTGCAGTTATATATACTCATGCCAATAATGGTTGTCACTCCCTTCAATTTTTTTAATTGGAGAGGGTGTGGGCTGGGGTGTGAGGTGTGGGGGAGTTGGGGTGGGGAGGGGGTGACAACCATTATTGGCATGAGTATGTTATGTCATTTGAGGCCCTTTCAGTAGATGCTTTGACTTAAAGCACTCCGAAAGGCTTTTTAGAGATTCTTCTGTTTTGGTCAAATTGTGGAATTCGCTTCTCCGCCATAATGATTTTAAAGTTTTGATTTCATTTTGCAGTAGACTGTGATCATATGTCCAGCAGGTTGGTAACATGGTGCGTCTATTGGACGTCAATAGAAGTTGTGTACATTTTCCACTTTGTTTTCTCAGCAAAATTTCAGATAATGATTTTCTCGATGGTATATTTAGCACGTTGCCTGGGTGATTAGGTTGTATATGCTGACTATTTAGCATACTCTCTGGATTATGATTTGCTGATGGAATAGTCAGTATGCTGTCTCGATTAACGTTTGCTAATTGAATATTTAGTACGCTGTCTGGATTGTTGTTTGTTGACTGTTGTATCGATGATTAGTTTTCTGTTGAAATAATTTATTTAGTATGTATTTTGGATTTGTGGTTTGTTGGGCGAATATTTAGCAGACTCTCTGGATTATGATTTGCTGATGGAATAGTCAGTATGCTGTCTCAATTAACGTTTGCTAATTGAATATTTAGTACGCTGTCTGGATTGTTGTTTGTTGACTGTTGTATCGATGATTAGTTTTCTGTTAAAATAATTTATCTAGTATGTATTTTGGATTTGTGGTTTGTTGGGCGAATATTTAGCAGACTCTCTGGATTATGATTTGCTGATGGAATAGTCAGTATGCTGTCTGAATGATTAGTATGCTGTTTTAATATCAGTATGCTGTCTGTAGTATATTTGGCTTGATTACCTTTTTTTATTTTGCTTGAAGTACCTTTGGTGTTGCTTGAATAGTTTGTTAAGACCGATGGATTTATTATTCTCGTTAAATCCAAAGTGTTTTCAGTCAGTATTTTGTTTGATGACAAGATGTTTGTATCCTGGGAAAATACATATATTTAGAAAGCTG